GAGATCGCAGTCCTACTGGTGAAGGACGCGATAGAGCCGGTTCCTCCAGCCGATATGAGGTCGGGGTTTTACAGCCCTTACTTCATTGTACCCAAGAAAGGCGGTGGGTTACGGCCAATCTTGGACCTGCGAGTTTTGAACCGGGCCCTTCATCGGCTACCGTTCAAGATGTTGACGCAGAAACATATCTTTGGGTGCATCCGTCCCGAGATTGGTTTGCAGCGATAGACCTGAAGGATGCGTACTTTCATGTGTCGATCCTTCCGCGCCACAGACCATTTCTGCGGTTCACATTCGAAGGACGTGCATGTCAGTACAAGGTCCTGCCCTTCGGGCTGTCCCTGTCTCCCCGTGTCTTCACAAAAGTTGCGGAGGAGGCTCTTGTTCCCCTCAGAGAGCAGGGTGTTCGCATCCTCAACCTCGATGATTGGCTTATACTAGCACAGTCTTGGGGTCAGTTGTGCGAGCACAGGGACCTCGTGCTCCGGTACCTCAGCCAGTTGGGTCTTCGGGTCAACTGGGAAAAGAGCAAACTCTCCCAGACGCAGAGGATCTCTTTTCTCGGTATGGAGTTGGATTCGGTCGAACAGACAGCGCGCCTCACAGAGGAACGTGTGCGGTCGGTGCTAGCCTGCTTGAATACGTTCAAGGGCAGGACAGCGGTCCCACTGATATTTTTCAGAGGCTCCTGGGGCATATGGCAGCACCGGCGGCAGTCACGCCGCTGGGGCTGCTCCATATGAGACCGCTTCAGCACTGGCTCCATGGCCGAGTCCCGAGGTGGGCGTGGCAACGCGGCACTCACCGGGTCCAAGTTACACCGGCCTGTCGCCAAACCTTCACCCCGTGGTCAGACCTTGCGTTTCTCTGGGCAGGAGTGCCCCTAGAACAGGTCTCCAGGCATGCTGTGGTTTACACGGATGCCTCCACCACCGGCTGGGGGGCCATGTACAACGGGCACGCAGTATCAGGGGTGTGGACGGGGCCCCCAACTGCACTGGCATATCAATTGCCTAGAGTTGTAAACGGTGCGCCTTGCCTTGAACCGTCTCAAAGGGCGCTTACGAGGCAAGCACGTGCTAGTTCGAACGGCCAACACAGCGACCGTTGCATACATCAACTCAACCGGTCTGCAAAACCGTACGGCCGACAAACTGTCACGAGCTACGCTCCCAGGAGAATGGAGACTCCATCACCAGACAGTCCAGCTGATATGGAGATGTTTCAGAGCCACTCAGGTAGACCTGTTTGCGTCTCCAGAGACTTCTCACTGCCAGTAGTTTTACTCCCTGACCGAAGGAACACTCGGCATGGACGCACTGGCACACAGCAAGCCGCGGGGCCTTCGCAAGTATGCTTTTCCCCCAGTGAGCCTTCTCGCACAGACACTGTGCAAGATCAGGGAGGACGAGGAGCAAGTCCTGCTTGTGGCGCCTTATTTGGCCCACTCGGACCTGGTTCCCGGAACTAATGCTCCTCCTGACAGCCCCTCTTTGGCAGATTCCTCTGAGGAAGGATCTACTGACTCAGAGACGGGGCACCCTGTGGCACCCGCGTCCAGACCTCTGGAAACTTCATGTCTGGTCCCTGGACGGGACGCCGAGGTTCTAGGTGACCTACCCCAGGAGGTAGTTGACACCATCACTTCAAGGAAAGCACCATCTACGAGACACGCTTACACCTTGAAGTGAAACCTGTTCGTCGAGTGGTGTCATTCTCACCGAGAAGACCCCCGGAAATTCCCGATCAGGGTCGTACTTTCCTTTTTACAGCAATGGTTGGAGTGAAGGCTGTCTCCCTCCACCCTTAAAGTCTATGTCGCTGCGATTGCTGCTAACCATGACCCTGTGGAAGGGAAGTCGGTAGGGAAGCATGACCTGGTCATCAGGTTCCTTAGGGGGGCGAGAAGGTTAAATCCTCCCCGGCCCCTCTCTATACCCTCTTGGGACCTGTCTCTAGTGCTCAAATCACTACAGCAGGACCCATTTGAGCCTTTGCAGTCAGTCGAGCAACCCTCTACATTGCGAGTAAATCACTCGCATATGCAACTAAATCTTCACTCTGGGCGACTAAATGATGTCTAATATTAGTCAATTGCTAATAAATTCTCAGATTTTACTCGCCAGTGTGTGCGTTGGAGGCTAAGTATAAGATACGAAACACACACATTTCCTATGACTTTAATCTTTTTGAACCAGTTACACATCTTAGTTTACACTCGAAGTGGATTGGTCTCTCTAAGCGAGATCCCAATTCGTCGGTCACCGACGTGACGTCTCCGTTCCCTCCTTCAGTGAACGAGGGTTACATACGTAACCGAGATGTTTTCTTATCAACAGTGCCCCCTATGGAAAACACAATTACTTAACAGATGTCTCAAACTGATTCCTGTATATTTTATAAATATATGTGTACATGTGCATTATGTTGTGTAGGTAATACGGAGGGCAAATGTAGATGAGAAACTCCTGGTCTTGGTACGAGAGCGGTCTGGTCACTCATGTGAGACATCCTGTATAGTAGTGGTCATCCTAATTTGGGAAGGCATACCAATCAACCTGGCTGACCGTCTCTACTCAGAACTCAGTGACACTCTAACAAAACATGGTGCCCTAACCAACCGCAGATGTGCTCTAAATGAGGAGTAAGGACAAATGTTTATTACTGCTTTCTCAGAAATACAGTGAACACTCAGCAACCAAAACTTATTATTATCAATTCACAATTAATCCAAATTGATAATCTTTGGCCTATGTATTGCTACGTATGTATCTAACCACTTTCTGCTTAACATAATATTAATGTATAGTTATGTTCCTGATTACGGTATATTTAATAGCTTCAACAAAATATAAAATCCTAGACATTCTAAGGTATATTTACAATACGTTAATCTTCAAATGTTACATTCTGTAATTTCTGTTATTGTCTTTAGGAGAACATGTGCATGTCAGGGTTTTGAACCTGATGCCTGTGGAGCTTCTTTTTCCTTTGGTTGCTCATGGAGTATGTACTATAATGGCTGCAAATTTGCCAGGAGTAAAATCCCTCGAAAGTTCAAACTACTTGGGGATGATCCCAAGGAGGTGAGACGCTCACACACAAACACACAACTGAATTATATATGAATTAAGGGAATATAAAATTAAAGATAACTGGAGTATTTTTATTCCCTTACAGGAGGAGAAACTGGAACAAAATCTCCACGGCCTTGCAACTTTAATTGCCCCAACATATAAAAAAATGGCGCCTGATGCATACGCCAATCAGGTATATATATCTCTGCTTCAGGCCTTATACCACTATAAAGAATATGTAGGATTTTTACGTTTCCTGAGAAAGTGTAATAATAAGCTGCAGTGATGTTGTAATATTTGAAAGTCATAGCAAAAGTGCATGTACTGTGGAGCATCTAAAAAAAGGCAACTAAAATTTTAGAACTACATTTTAAGTTTAAATTTTACATTTCTTTATCTACCTATATTTCACAGGTAGAGCATGAACACAGAGCTCCCGATTGCCGTCTGGGTCTAAAAGAAGGACGGCCATTTTCTGGAGTTACAGCCTGTCTAGACTTCTGTGCCCATGCCCACAGAGACCTTCACAACATGCAGGGGGGCAGTACTGTGGTAAGAATTAAATGCTTATGATAGAGGGCCATAATAAGACTAATAAAAAGCATTCACTAAAACAATCAGTTTTTTTTACGAACCAATACAAATCATTTACACTTTGCTATATACCTTGCAGGTGAAAAACTAAAGGTGGCTAAAACAAAGTAGTGTATACAATATTAAAAATGCCAAACCTCCCTCTCTACCCCTGTTGTAGGTCTGCACACTAACACGAGAGGACAATCGTGTCATTGGAAAAATTCCTGAGGATGAGCAGCTACATGTGCTTCCCTTATACATGGCCTCATCCACTGATGAGTTTGGCAGTGCTGAGGCTCAGCTGGAGAAGACCAAGACTGGTGCTATTCAGGTGCTCAGTGCCTTTCGCAGACAGGTGCGTATGCTACCAGAGCCTGCCAAGTCTTGCCGGCAGAAGAAGCTGGATGCCAAGAGAGCTGCAGCTAACAAACCAAACAACCCCAACACACCTAACTCCAAAATGGACAACACCCAGCAAGCAAAGCAGAAACATGCTGCTTATGAGAACCCAGGCCAGAACACAACTGTAACAGGTACAGAAGCAAAGCTTCAAAAAACATTATTCAGTTATATATAGATTATTTGAGGAAGATAAATTAAATTATATAACCAAGTAATGGCGCAGATTCCAAGTGTTTATCAAAATTACAACCGAAATTTTACGTTTTGGTCTAATCGCATTATTTCTTCCAGGCCCAGGTAATGTGAGAACAAATCTGGACTCTGGGCATCTCCCACATGCTCATGCTGCCCATCAGCCTCAGCCTCAGCAGCAGCATCAGCAGCAACCACAACCTAATCCTAACCCCTCTTACACTGTCCCACCATTCCCTAGATTCTCAAATGCATCAGGAACCTTCTTAAACAGCTCAAAATCAGCAACCACACATCCTCAAACCCCATCTTCTGCCGGTCCTTATCCCTATCCTTTACATGCACCCAACTCTTACATTAATGTGTCTAATGCACCCACCCCATATCCCAGGTCTCTTACACCCAACCCTCTCTACACTGGTTACCAATGTAATGGAGGACTCCCCGTGGACAACTACCACCCTTACTACTCTTCCAATCTAAAGCATCCAGATATGTATCATCCCCAGAGAAATTCACTGTACTCTGAGCAGCAGTACAATGCACCTCAACATTACGGGGTAAACTACCCACCACACTATGGAGAGCCTAGCTTGCCAACCAATGGTTATGGCACCTGTAACATGAAACCTGGCATGCACTCCATAGGATGTTACCCAGGTTATGGTCCTAATATGCCACCTGATGCTTTCTCCAGGCCTCCCTCAGCCCATCTACATTTGGACTATGCAGCTATCGGCAAAAGCAGCCAGTTTGAAGCTTACCCCAAACCTCATATGTCACAGAATCCTCAGATGTTTCCCCCAAATCTAAATATCTTAAGTATGCAAAATAATAAAGATTTAGAGATAAACATGCATGGAGCAAATGGTATCTCTCAGGTGTTTCCTCCTTTGGGTACTGAATGCTTCAACCCAATCCAACCTCCAGGTTTGAGGCTTTCCAGTGAAAATGCCCTTAACCCCATAGTCAAACAGGAACCCCCTACCCAGACTTCAGAACAAAAAGAAAAGGAGGATGTGTGGTCTGACAGTGAGCACAACTTCCTTGAATCTGAAATTGGAGGAGTGGCAGTGGCACCTAGTCATGGGTCAATCATTATTGAGTGTGCTAAGCGGGAGCTCCATGCGACTACACCACTCAAGAAGCCTGACCGCAACCATCCCACCCGTATCTCTTTAGTGTTTTACCAGCACAAGAACTTGAATGAGGCAAAACATGGACTGGCTCTGTGGGAAGCAAAGATGGCAGAGAAGGCCAGAGAGAAAGAGGAGGATGCTGAGAAGCATGGTACTGAAAATACATCCAGCAAGAGCAGTGGAAAGAAGGTGAAAAGAGAACATTCAGAACCTTCTGAACCTTCAGAGCCTCCGTATAAGCAGTTCCTTCTCATGCTTAATGAGCGGTCAACATCCTGCACTACCAATACATATGTAAGCACATCTCCCTATGCCTTCACCAAGGTGACTGGGCCTTACAATCAATTCCTGTAAAAACCTCCATAGGTCCAGAGCATTCACAAACACAAGAGCAAGAGTGGCATCAGACAAAGTAAATGGTGCTACAATATAGTGTTGCAGACCTCTGTGCCACTGGCCAAATAACCCATAATGCTTGCTCAGTTTGTGTGAAGTTATTAACAGTAGATAGATTCAGTATCCTTCTATATGGAAAGACAGATCACAGTGGGTTTTTCATGCTCTTAAGAAGTCAAGCTTTACTGTTTAATCAATTAGAAATATTAATTTATTATTGAATTACTCTATGATAACACACTGTTCTTCATCCATGGTGCTTAGAGTCCAACAAATCATGGACATGGCCATATTACTGGAAAAAAATACTCATGTTTGGTGACTTTTATGGCTAATCACTGTTTTATGGTGCTATGGAGAGTTTTCAATGCAAATGTGTTTTCAAATGCCTTTCTTTAACAACACACAACAAAACACCTTGTATAATATTTTGAAGTAATACAGTTATTTTGATCGAGCAATTAAGAAAATTTTGCTTAATTAGTGTTTAAGAAGCACTTTTTTAATAATAGTGATTTAAAATTACTTTATGCCCTCCAATTTGAAAGACAATTCATTACACTGCAGCCATTTTAGTTTCACAACGTGGAATACAATAATGATGACCTCCATGGTGGATAGTCAAACATCATGTTTCAGCCTTTTAAAGAATTTCTCTGGTGCTTACACAATTTCAGAAATCCTTTATACTTACTGTATGTGAGCCATTGAGGGTTAATTTTGTAAGAATAATGTTCTGATTCACTAAAACTGTGACATTTCAGAATACTGAATACTGATACTTGGAGTGAAGAAAGACAATGGTCAATATTAGGTCATTGAAGCATGTATCAAGGAACACATAACAAGGTTACCTTTGCATCAATGTCACTGCTTCAAAGGCAGCTGGCTTGGCTTGCTGTGGCGGTCCTTACATAATGCAACTTTAGCTGTATAAAAAAGTTGAGATTTGTACAGTAAATTATTATTATTATTATTTCGAATGTATGCTTAGATAATAGTTTAGTAAAGATGAGTACTATTACTTTGGGTTTGAACTGATCTTATTTCAAATGGTGCTACTTGACCTGCTATACATATAATGTGAGAATTTCTAAGGGTGTTGAGAGGGCTTATGAATGACGTAGAAAAACCTACTTATCATATACCTCAGAACTAGTTTGGCAATAGAATTATAATACCAAGGTGTTTCTGTTATTTTATTTCCAAACACTTTGTAGCAAATATAACACAGACCTTAAGGCATTTCTCTCATTTCTTACTTTCTTCACACTTGATCTATTAGAAAGTATTACTTGACCTTCATGTTTCAATGGAATTGCAAAATCAGGGATATCAGCTAATTTCAGTGCATAAACATCACTTGTGTTCATGTTGTCTTCTCTAAATCAGGTTTGAGCCTTTGTATTTTAAATCGATCTAAATTTCTTGTATATACTACACACATATCCAACTTTGTTATAAAACTAAAAGAATCTGAATTTGTGTATTGTTGAAGCAGAATGTTGATAAACTTTTCAAGAAGTAATTTGAAAATATTTTAACATGCACTGATTTAAAGGGAAAGTGTCGCAACCTATATTAAGCAATGCAGTTGCTCTTTACTGAAAGGTAAGACCAAGTCAGTTAAGCTATTGTGTGCACATTAGTTGCATATGTACAGCTTGAGGCTAAATGTATTCACAACCACTAAGCATGGTAATGCCTCTTACACAACCCTGTCCACTGAATCAAATTAGAAAAGTGATGAATAATTGGTAATGAAATATATACAGGTCATTCCACTCTGACATAAAAAATTAAAGCACTTCATTTGTTTTTTTCAGAAATAATACAAAAAATGTATGTAAATTCAAAATAGGTAGATCATTGTAAATTTAATAGATTATGCCACATTGAATATACCACATGCTTGCATTGCAGAAGTCTAAGTCCATGTTATGTACAAAGTTTAATTTAACGTTAAAAGTACCATCACTCCACACATATAATAATCATAGATTTTGCCCCTAAAATCTGTCTTGTTGGTATTCAGGCCACCGAGACAAAAAAAAAAACTCTTTATAATTTTTATATTTGGGCCAAAAGCCCCCTTGTTAAAGAGTTTAGGCCCCCCAAATTTTTTTTTTTTTTTTTTTAATACAACAGCAAAGTTTACAATTTGCTTTATTAGAAATCACTTTGATGTACTGACTAGATGTGAAAGAAGCTTCCAATTTTGTAGTTTAAATTAGTTGTTAATTTTCTGTGTACAGAACCCAGCTTGAGTAGCAGGTTGTATATGAAGCAAAAGTAAGTGGTGGTTAAAATTTAGTGAGTGACAAGAATAGCCATACTTGAAGATGCTTCGGAGAGTTTCTGAGTGGTCAACTTTACTTGAATGACTTTCTGACTTCAACTAACAAACTGTGGTGCACAGCTTTTACATTAAGCTAGCTGTTTATGTACACCTGTTGGTATTTTGCCATTAGACACTAAAGATTTAAATGTGCCATTTTCTGCCTTTTTGTATTGCTTCCCCTTTTCCCTTCAAATTTGTAATGCTTAAAACATTGAATTAAGAATGGCTTTGAATACTGTAAGTATTGTAATGTACTGAAGAACTGAATGCAGTTTCTTTGAAAGCTGTTTGTTATGATTTATCATTCCTAATATTGCTGAAATGTGGTTTTTAATAAAAATGATATTTATTTCAAGAATTTACTGTAAATTATGCAACTTTATATTTATAATTTTGACTCCTTTAATGATTAAATAAACCAAACAAATAATATGGTTTTATTTATAATTTGCAAATGGTACAATTACAAACAGTGCTTACAAAAGTATATGACCCTTGGAAGCTGTGATGTTTTATTTCTTTACAACACTTTGATTTTACAATTATTATTTGCATTTCATTATTTTAGATTACTAACAATATGAAGTCCAAGGGTGTGAATAATTTTTTCAATAACGGATAATTTAGATAAATTAGAATACATTTAAAACACAGTTCTCCTTTCAGTGCATTAATAAAGTAATTAAGCTTTTTTTATTAAAGTTACACACTTTTAATTTTGTAAATATATTATCATGGAAAACAAAAAAAGATTGATCCGAGCTTATTTCCTGTATACTAGTACTTGATTCTGATGGTACACATTCCAGGGAAAGAAGTAGAGTATTATTTATTTTTTACATCAGGCACGGAACTTCACATTCTTGCTACAGTTTGATTTCTTGGTCATCTTGCGAAGACGAACTCTTCTTGTCCTAATACCCAATGTATATTGATTCCTAATGGCAGTAATTACAAACCAAAGTTTTCTTAACCTTGTACCTAAGCTTAAACTTGTTCACTTGTTCCTAAAGGACTTGTCAGAATAGGTGTATAAATAGAAATAAACAAAACACACACACACACACACACACGAAAAGGCACTGTAAAAGTTTGAAGAAGAAAAAAAAAAAATCTGGTTTTAGAGATTAACTACTCAACCTTTAAAGTATGAACATGATCTTTGGCACTGAAACACATGCATTTTAAGTACAGAAACATGTTCACCAATGTTACTGCAAAAATAACTTGGTCATTTCACCACATGAATGAGAGGGGTGTGTGTGTGTGTGTCTTGTTCTAATAAATAAAGCAATGTTTTAAAAAAAAATAAAACATTAATAAAACAAAAATCTTTGCACCAGGGACATTACTGACTTCTGGCATTCTTCTGGCCTTTTCTACCTTCTTCCGAGATCACACTGCAAAGAGTTAATGATCTTTTACTTTGTGAAGAAGTGCCATTTGTCCACTGCAAAATAGAAACGAAGTTAACAAAGTCATGTAACTTGTAAAAGTATTGAAAAACATTAAATACAATTTTACCTTCAGATGGTACTGGGAGGGGTTCCCCATATTCCGCAGCCTACAACAGCAAAAGAGTATTTGTCTTCTGTCTAATAGCAAAAATTAGCCAGTATGAAAGGACATAAATACTCACAGCTTCAACTACAGTACTGGCCTCTGCATCACTGCATTTGAATGGACTCTCACATAAGGAAGTGTTTTGACTAAGAAAGAGATTGATCAAACTAAATAATGTCACAAAAATCAAAACGGTCATCAAAATGACTAGAAATAAAATATCAAACAATTGAAAATGTAGAAAAACTAAAATGTATTACAAAGAGAAACTCTGTCATTTAATAAATTTGAAATAAAAATAAAATCTTACACTCACCAAACAATCTCATCACTTTTCATCTTTTTTCTCATCACTAATGCTTTCCAGTAGCTGTGTGTTGATTTTATGACTTCTATAGCAAAGTCCTAACATGACATTAACAACATTAACATTAGATGATTGATCATTGAATGGATTAACACTTCTCTCTCATAATCAATCTTCCATGATGCACTACCTTATCCTTGAACTGTCCATTGAAGGCAAACTGGTTCTCAGGCTTCCCATCTGGCACTTTATATTTTTTAAACCAATCCACAGTAGCCTCAAGGTGACCAGGCTTAATCTTTCTCACATCCTCAACACCTGTTAAAGATACACTAGTTGAGATTACAGTCATAAATACAACAAAAACATTTTTTAAAACGACTCACTGTTAAGGCTTGATGCATCAGGGTCCTCTTTATTGATGGCTATTACCTTCCAGTCAGTCTCTCCTTCATCTATCAAAGCCAGAATTCCAAGAACTTTAACCTGAATCACCTGCCCTGTTACACACACCTGTAACACAGAAATATACAGTGGCTTAGAGTAGTAGTAATCAGACCCATAACCAATTTGTGTTAGGAAAGAAAGAAAGAATGTATTATGCAAAATAATAATACACTGATGGAACAATGCCCAAAAATGCCACCTACACAGTGTTAGAAGGAAACAAAATGTGAAACTGTCAAAGAGGTATACAAAATAATATGAGCATTAGGGCTGCACGATTAATCGAATGCGATGGTCATGCGCATTTTGTTAGTAAAGCCGGTTCTGTAATCAGCAGTAAATCATCATCACCTGCTTTCAGATGGAGCAGCATTTACTACACAGAGCTGCAAAAATAAATAAATAAATAAAAATAAAAAAATCACAGACGATATTATTGCATGATTATGAAATCGAAGAAATCGTTCGCGATAATGACAGCTGTTTGCATAGCTTCTCAGTGAACTACGGCTCTGTGTAGTAAATGCTGCTCCATCTGAAAGCATGTGAAAATACCACATTTAATAACATGTTTTTACTACAAACTCACTTCATAACGTCAGTCGAGTGTTTGAAATAAATCCTTCTGTGAGATGATGTGGCTTCTTACACAGAATAAGGCACGCAACATATTTCATAGTATTTAAGCAGTGATAAAGGCATTGCATTATAAATATACTTTATTTGAATGAAAATTATAATAATAATAACTCAGATAAACCATATATTGTCATAATTGTGTGTTTATTAGTCACGTTGAATCAATGACAGCAGTTAAATCTTCTAGCATTTCCTGAGTTTCTTCTGCGGGTGTATTTGGAGTTTCAGCGCGAGAGTGCCCTCTGGCCTTTGGATGGAGATTTACTGCTGATCACAGAACCGTGCTTCACTGAAAGATACGCATGACAATCGCAGCTTCTGTCTAATCGCGATTTCGATTTCATTTTGATTTATCGCGCAGCCCTAATGAGGATTGACTGAAAAGTCATTAAAATAATTTTTTTAAAAGACTGAGAAATATTGATTTTAAGGTTTCAGTATTTTGAAATGAAAGCAAAACTTTGATATAGGATTGTTTTTTTTTTTGTGAAATACAAAACTGCTAAATGTTGTAAATAGTTTTGTAAAATATTATATCAATCAGTGATTCCACCCACCTTGGAGCCAATCTCACACACGTCTATGGGGTCATTGTCTCCACAGCACATGGTTGCCTTGTCAGTATGGCTGGGATCTTCCCATGTCTTTAAACATTGGTTTAAAAAATTTTTTTTTAATTTTTAGTATTTATATAGTGTGTGACAGAGAAAAATTACACATACACACAACGCAAGAATACTGTACAATTAAGATGTTAAAATCAGATTGCAGACAGTTTTGAAAATCATAGCCATAATCAAAACCATGACATCACCTGTGGAAGTGCACCATAGTTCCAAATGTAACCTTTGTGTGGAAAAATGTTAGCAACATATCGCAGCTTGCCTTTCTTCACATCTTGCTTGATTGGGTTTAGTGGTTCCTTTGTTGCTATCTGTGGACAAAAAATAAAAATAACATACTAAAATAACATACTATTGCATTGCGTTAAGCACAATATCAGAACATACAATATTTCATGGATGAAATTTTTTAATTTAATATCAAAATGTAATTTTTTGATTGATTTGGTACTTAATGTATAAGCCTGAAGCTACACAGCCCAGATACAAAGTTATATTTACATGGTTAGCTATATGGTATTATTTATAATTATTATTGGCAGATAAATCTTCCTTTTGGCAACCTATTGATATATAAATAACTGACTTGGTTTTTTTTTAACTCTTTTTTTCTATTATTCTTCTCATGTAAATCTTATATTCAATGTTAAATTGGCTTTCTTATTTATTGGCCAAATCAGCCAACTGATCAATCAAATTAAGAAATAGAGAATTGCTGGTCATCTTAACCACAGTCAGACACTAGAAAAACTGCTACAACTCTGTAAAAATATACTTACCTCCATCTTGGCATTTGACCAACGAGGTACTTCTACAACCATATTAAACAATATCTGTTAAAGACAGCACAGAATTATTTTTTATTTTGTAATTATTAACTTCTATTTTGCGACAATAAGCTCCCAATATGTGTAGATTGAGGAATGGTTACCTCATTCGTTTTAAACTTCTTTGGTGGAACACCACATTCCTGATATGGGAGAAACAATGCCAACAAAATTTGAAAAAAAGACTGGGTAAGAACTGTGCCCGTTATCTTGATGTCAATTAGGTTATTCAATTAATTACTCATTGATTTATTACTATCAGACATAACATCACCGATTTGAAGAACATTATACCAACCTGTTCATCAGCAACATACAGAGGAATGTCATGGAAAGGGGATATGTACTTTCCATCTGAGGTTTCTGCAAAGCAAATGTTACAATCTGTATCATTCATCCAAGTTCAATTCATCTCAAGGTATCAATGAAGTATTCTCTAACGTTACTCTGTATGTTTAAATAACCATGAGACCTTGTGTGTTGCTAGACCATATGTAGTAAGCGTAAAGTGTACAAAATACAACGATAAATGGGCAAATTATATAGTGTAATCGTTAGGTTTTTAACTTGCGTGAGTGTAACCGTAAATGCATGCATGTTCTGTCTCTTGCTTATGACGTTCAGAAATCTCCCGCCGTTAGAGCGCATAAATCAGCGGCGAGGTAACATGTTCTGTCACCAATACTCATTTTATTTGAAAGGTGTGAGCCGTTTATAGTGCTCATTTTTATGAATGATATTAAAAGGTGAGAAGAGCAAACTTACTCAAGTAAACCCTGTAGTCAGTAGCGTTTGGTCGTCCTCTCAGCTCTGTAAGGTAATGCGCCATTTTTCTCAAATGAATGGAAGCAGCTGAAAATAAAGACGTGCTTTTCCGAGAGAACTGTGAAGAGAAGAAGGCAGCAGAAAACCTCGTGGCAGTATGAATAACTGAACGCATTATTTACATCGACGTATATTCCTGCTTGCGTTTGAACGTCTCGCACATTACGCGTCACAAATTCTCTTTTAGATATTCCATGCTGCCACCTATAGCCAGATGACCGTAATTCACACAAAAGGGTAGCCAAAGTAGGCTATCCAAGCAAGTAAATATGCAAGAATGGGGAACAGTGTGGATATTACCAGCGATAGGGAGATTATATGAAATTTAGGTTAACACTTCATATGTTTTATACCTTTCATTTATTGTTATGATTATTTTTTGTTATTTAGGTTTAGGATTATTTTAATTTAAAAAAGAACCATTCATTTAGCTATACAATATTAGGCAAATGTAAGGCAGCTGATGAGTGTTCGGTAGGGGGTGCTCTTCGTCTTTCTATAGCTGCTAAAAAAATGAAAGGTAAAAATTCAGCTTTAATCATGTAGATAACTGCATTGCCACAGATTCACCTTTTTGTTTTGTAGTTACATACAAGAATATAAGCTTAAACGTCTACTTAGCAGATGCAAATGAATTAAATGTTTACTATTTCCATACATTTAAAAGTGAAAGCTGACCATCGTCTGTAAAAACTCACTATAAAAGTGGTCCAAACCAATCGACGAACACTGTACTTCAAGTAGGCTATTCTGAGATCCAATAGCTTTGTGTGAGGAGAAGACTGAAATGCAACTTATTATTCACTGATAATCTTTTCCTCTAAAATCTCATTTGTTCATATGTATCTTAACCATTTCCAATTGTGCAAGTCATATTTGAGAGATGTTTAGAGAATAATTAAATCCTACGTTTTTAGATAGCAAAATATTAGCCGGTTTCTCAGCTATCGTATTAACCACACCCGTTGTAGGAAGTTTTGAATGCATCCTCAAATGCAGAAGAAAACAAACTGGCAAACAGCTCAAAAGGTGCCAGTATCTGGAAATATTTACATTGTACAATCCAGGACTGATCTCACCAGTTGCACAGAGGTCAACTATGAAAGTCTGCACATTGACATAAAATGTATTTTAATCTCACATAAATGCACTCGAGGTAGGCAATGAGATGATAGAGACTTGTTATTGTACAAAGATTAAAGGTAACCAAAACCAATCAATACTGTGCAAATATAGTAGCCTATGTCAATTCAAGCCTCTATAAAACTAGGTCCAGGTAGATGTGATCATTAGCTATAACCAGCTCCAGTGGTGCAGTAAAGTATGAAGATAATGTGTCCCACAACATGTTTCAGTTAAAAGAGAATCCTAAAGACTGCAGTGTATTCACCTTAATACTGAAATTGTGGTGTGTTTACTGCTTATTATTTAAAATAATGTACTAAATCTAAACAAATTTGTTCATCTCATTCATACAACAGAAGGTGCATTACCAAGTATTCATTGGGCCTGTATGTAGGCCTAGTTATAAAAGAGTTTTCCTTTATCTTTTTAAGTTCAACTGTGATATCAAAAATTTTGAGAAGTCCTTTGACTTCTGTAATCTGTTTTAGTCAAACTGGGCCTAATAAAGAAGGAAAACAGTTCATTTTTAATGAAATGCAGGGACAATGTCAACAGTTCCCTTTTTTCAGGAGACTTCAAAAAATTCAATCTGTGATCCTCTCCACCTCAATAATCTGATGCTTCTTTCTGCTGCTAAAACTGATCAGAAACATTGATACGGTGAGTGAGTCATGAAAGATACAAAAACCATAAAAGTGCACCATATGATAAAAGAAAAAAGGAAGCAGAAAGAGGCCACTATGTAGGGGCACAATGCATAAAATCTTTACTAATACAAGAAATTTTATCAAGCAAATCATATTACCAGTAACAGAAGAGTACATGTACCACACAGGTCAGGAAAAACCAGAGTTCCTTGTTTATTTATTGTGTCATCCGCAGTAAATAAATACATTTTGGGGAAAAAAAACAATAACATATCATTCACCTTCAAAACAGGATAGCACTAGGGGTTAATTGACTCTAAACTCATAGACTCAACAACAAATAAATACAAAAATAGTTTCACTGCCTGCTCACAAAAAGAGCAATACTACATATTACTTACATACTAATACTACAAACATACAAATTTTATGTTTTTATTATACAAGCATTTAGCTAAAATGTTTGTTTGTTTGTTTGTTTGTTTTTAATGTTTGTTTGTTTAAAGAAAATGCTCTGTGGAAAGAATTACTTAATTAAACAGACCAGATGTCTGTTCAAGTTCAAATGTCTGAGTGAGTCATTTATGCTACAGCATTTTATTTTTTATTTTATTTTTTAGTTTTGGCGTGCAATCACCCAAAATGTCTTGAATCAGATTGTCATCTGCAGTAGAGAGTTACATGTGCAAAATCATTTCACCAATTGGGTACTTCAATGAAGCTTTAGGGGGATAAGGTACAAAGTTTTCCTTTTAAAGAAATTGACTTAGTGAAGCTGTTGTAACCCTAAAGGTACAATTTTTGCACCTACCCAATGTTTATATAAAAGTTAATTTCTTTGCCTTGTGTTTGCTTTTCTAAACAGAGCCATGGCTGCAGGTTATAGACTAAGCATCACATGATTATGATAATGACATTTTTCCCACCCTCATGACTCTTTTAATCAAGGTTTGACTACATTCTTATTTTAAACCGTTGGTGAGTCAGGTTCAGTCTGCCTCAGTTGCTAATATTATTATCTCCCTATCCCCACAAAAAAAAAGAAAAAAAAGAAAGCTAAACAGTATCCTTATTATGTCCATGGAAAAGTCACTCACTGCAATCACTAGCTGTTAACATGCCGTATGGCTTTTTTTTTTTCGTGTGGTATTTTTTCCTTTGTATGGTATTTTCCTCAGTATTCTAAATAGATCTACTAGTTTATACGTTCCAGTTCATTTGAAAAATAGAAAATGAAAATTGAAAAACAGTCATGCAGAATTAACACATTCTGATGCCGTTTCTCTCTGTAATGGGCGGATGAATGCATCCATTCACTCATTCTTTATCTACACCAGACACATTGTTATGCAGCTCATAATTCCAGATTTACCAGATTTCACCTGTATGAAAGGTAAGTTTTTTTACTACATTTTTTTACTACATTTTTACACAGACAGACCAGCTGACCCCTGAATGTAGTCATGCATACACTCTAAAAAATGCTGGGTTGTTTCAATCCAATTTTGGGTCAAATATGGACTAACCCAACTGTTGGGTTAAATTTTGGTTACATTTTTAAATTAACTTTTTAACCCAACAGTTGGGTTAGTCCATATTTGACCCAAAATTGGGTTGAAACAACCCAGCATTTTTTAGAGTGTAGTCAGAGTTAAAATGAGTCAACAACCATTTCTCATTAAAGTCAATTTGAGATTTGATAGGAAATCTGATCTATTAAAACAGTAACCAGAATATTTAAAAAAAAAATCATATTTGAAAGGCCACAGTCATATGACATATTTGACCGCGTTTACACATTTGGTCTTATAATGTTGATATATACACCAGCGTTGTCGTAGTGCTTTGCAAATGTTGACACAAATCGAAAACTTTACAGGCCTGTTTGATATGTCGACCTTCGTCATGCCCTTCAAAGTTAAGTCATCAGACCCTCCTTCTTGTTTAATATTAACTTTATCGGCACACACATTTTCAACCATCTAAAGGGATTGTTTAGATTCTCACACACTTATGACAACCAAAATTTGAAGGCATGCTTATCAACCAAAATTAAAGTCTATGTTTCAGATATGAGTTTCTTTGTGGTTATAGATAGTCGGACAGATGGATGGATGGATGGATAGATAGATAGATAGATAGATAGATAGATAGATAGA